CCAAAATCACGAGATAAAAAGACGTATTGAAATTACCAGGTCTTCCTTTATAAAAATGAAAAAAATATTTTGTAATCGTGATATTAGTATTCAGCTACAAACTAGCATGTTAAAATGCTATGTATTCAGTACTTTGCTTTACGATGTTGAGGCATGGACTCTTAAACAGAGAAATATTAAAAATCTTGAAAGCTTTGAGATGTGGTGCTACCGCCGTATACTAAAAATAAGTTGGGTGGATAAAATTACAAACGAAGAGGTAATACGTAGAATAAATGTCGATACAAAAGTTATTATGAATATAAAAAAAGAGAAACCTTGAATACTTAGGCCACCTAATGAGAGGACAAAAGTACACGTTCCTACAAAATATAATGCAAGGAAAAATCGAAGGACGCAGAAATCCAGGCCGTAGAAGGTCCTGGATGAGAAAATTAAGAGAGTGGTATGGCTGTACCACTAACGAATTATTCAAAACAGCTGTTAATAAAATTGGAATGGCCATAATGATATCCAATCTCCGATAGGAGAGGCACTCAAAGAAGAAGATGTAATAGAAATTTTGCAACCACTGTTTAAAAACACTAGTCAACAAATTAAAAAAAAGGTGCGACTCATGTCATAATGGATATACCGGGGGGTTTTAAAGCATCCTGATTGCGAATTCAAACACCAAAATTTTTCACCACGTATATATTTTGAGTTCTAGAATGCATCAAATAATGTTATTTACAATAAAAATTCTTCTATACTATATATAAATAAGTCCAGAACTAAAAACAAAAATTATGGTAAGGGCTTGCTAACTATGGGCTTTTGTACACAAAAGGTTTGTGCCAACACGCAATTTTTGTACCGTCCGGAAACCGTCACGAAACTACTTGTACCGTTTTTAATGCGCATGTTCATCATTTGTATCGTCTGATGACGGTAATTTGGAAACTGATGTTGGAACGATTTTCTGACAACTGGCATAATTTGGTGACAATCTACCTAAATAATTCTGGTTTTTAACCCTAGGTTCGGCTAATAGGACCGATCCTAATAGCTCCAAATCATCCTCACTACTGTAATATCAGAAAAATCAGTAATTCCTTCGTCGTCAGTCATATTTATAAAGTTATAAATAACGAAAAACAAATATATAAATAAATAACAAGTCTATCTTAAGCACCTGATAAAATTATTAACCCAACTTCTTCTTTTTTCTGAACAAATTTACAGTTTTAATATAAGATCTAAGTTAATCTGGACTCAACAAATTTAAAAAAGTGGAATAAAATTCTAGTGCGCAAGTCATCCCAACCAGTACATACATTTGCCAGATTACTAAAATTATCGTCACGAAACCGTCACTGAGCGATCACAATTTTTGTTGGAACGGTTGGAAGGACGATGAGATGAACGATCATATTTTTGTTGGAACGTATTTTGTTTAATGCGCAGGAGCGTAACCGTTACGTGACGGTTTTTCGTTGTGTTGGAACAAACCTAAATTCTTTGCAAACGCTGATTTACTTTTATACTCTATATCACTTCTCTCATGAGGAACCAACAGTAATCTCTCATCACTGCTGCATCCCATCTTCCCTGGTAGCGTTGCTCCATTGTGAGAATATCCTGGTGGAACCTTTTTCCTTGCTCGTCTCTGACCGCACCCAAATTTTCCGGGAAAAAATTTAAATGGGAGTGCAGAGTGTATTTTTTAGAGACAGGCGACAGCCCAATTTGCAGTAATTTTTAATTAGTTCTACAACATTTTGGTCATTTTCTTCTTTTTTTCCAAAAACTCGAAAAGAATTCTTTTGAAAGAAATCCATGCAGCTAACTCAACATCATTTAATTTTTCATCAAACTGTTGATCGCTCAGTATTTTTCTGATTCGTGATTTGTGGTCTAATAAATATCCCTTCTTTAAGCTTCGTTCGCGTCACTTAGCTTAGAAAAAATTGTTTAAGGTATTGTTGTATATTTATTAATTCTAATTTATTGTCTTTATTATTTATCAAAGGTTCTATATTTATAACACTTACAATTTTTAAAGTTTATTTATACTAATAATTTATCTTACACTGATAATTACATAATTTAATTATACATTTAAAAAACCCGCCGCGATTTTCTCTTCTCACTGATGTTTTTTCCAAAAAGGTTTCTATTTATATAACATGTCGTTATTTCGAGAGTACCGGTGATTCCCTCTGACTAGACTAGAAGGTCAATGGGCTGGATCTTCATTCGACCGGTTTCTGGAACCTTCGAATCGTAGGGGAGCGACCGTTTCAGGTAGATATTACCTGGAGTTTCTGCCAGCTAATAAAATCTAGAACATAAAAGTGAATAAACAACATGTTTACAGGTTTTTAATATGACTCATATTTTTTACGTAACAGTATTTAAACGCATCTCCTTCTTTATCTAATGCTTTAACGAAATTTTTAATCACATTAGCTTGACCTGGTATGTACTGATCTCTTGCTGGCCATTATTTAACTTGGTAATGGTTCATTGTTGCTCTACTGTCCCAAAGACAAAGAAAACAGAAAAATTTTGTAAATCCTCCCTGAAGACTTAGTAATAATCCGATGACTTTTAAGTCACCACATATTTGCCACTCATATGTATCATAGCTTACTGCATTTAGGATCAGCGACATACTTTCTTGTGTTTCTTTCATATCAACTGCATGCGCAAGAGGAATAGATGGTCTTTTGTTGCGGTTATGGAGCAGAACTGCTTTTAGACATGATTTAGAAGAATCTATAACCAAATGCCATTTTTCTGGGTTATATATATACTATACTAGGATATATATATATATATATATATATATATATATATATATATATATATATATATATATATATATATATATAGAGAGAGAGAGATTGAACGAATTTAAAACGGCTCATACAATTTAATATATGTCTGTTTGAACTGCATTTGAAATAGTGGACCAATATAAAACTTGGACAAAAATTAATCCATGCCTGGGTTTAGACATTGTATAAAATATCGTTCAACTATCTGTCTTGCAACAATGTTGTTTGCGTAACAATGTTGCCAATCGCCGTGTAATAATCCTATTTGCGGATCTTTTTGAGAGTTATATCTTCTTCCTATCTTTAAATAAATCGGATATTTGCCTATATTTTTCATTGTAGTTACCAATCTACTACAACAGACTAATAACAAAAATAAACTTAATGGTTTGTAGTTATTTTCTTTTTTTCTTGTAAATGTTTTATGGATAACACCTTATTTGAGAAAGATCTAAAGGAATGAGGTTGGCAACACCGCTCAAGTGCTCAAGTGGTTTGACAGCATAATAAAATCGTAGCTTTTATTTGTAGCTTTTAATTTTTATGATTTCAGAATCCAGCAGCCCGCTGAAGTATTGAATTTTTATAATATAATTATTTCACAACCTTTTGTTGGCCAACCACCTACAGCAAAATTGAGCCGAAATACATAATATTTCGTATGTTCCGAATTTATTTCGTTCAATCTGTATATATATATATATATATATATATATATATATATATATATATATACTACTACTACTACTACTACTACTACTACTATTCAACTACCGTATAGTTATAGTACCGTATAGTACCGTTATTCAGTGGTTATTCAGCTGTAGCTTCCTCCGTGGTTGGTGTTGGTTTTTGCCCTGGAAACCATCAGGGTCTTCTAACTCTAATGCCACAAATTGGTTGCATTGCTCCTGTAGTGATCCTTTCCCAAGTTAATATGCTCCTTTTTTAACTTGGCTGCACCGTACTGAAGACGACCAATAGTCAGAAATACGTATATACGGTTGCCTTCCATCAGTATACCATTTTTGGTTTTTTGTTTTGCGAGACATGCCATTACTTTTTACTTTTATTATTCACTCACATTATCCTTTTCCATTTGTTTTAAACGTTTTAACGTTTGCCATTCCTTTCCCCAGGTAGCTGTAGCTTCCTCCGTGGTTGGTGTTGGTTGTTGCCCTGGAAACCATCAGGGTCTTCTAACTCTAATGCCACAAATTGGTTGCATTGCTCCTGTAGTGATCCTTTCCCAAGTTAATATGCTCCTTTTCTAACTTGGCTGTACTGAAGACGACCAATAGTCAGAAATACGTATATACGGTTGCCTTCCATCGATATACCATTTTTGGTTTTTTGTTTTGCGAGACATGCCATTACTTTTTACTTTTTATATATATATAATATATATATATATATATATATATATATATATATATATATATATCCCAATATCCCATCGTCAGTGCATACAACTACCCACCCAGAAATTGGGAAACTTTTTGTCACAAATTGTTTCCATTTTATTGATCTTCTGAAAAATATTTATATTTCTAAATGTCTCTAAACGACTACGAGCAATATGGTCACCGCTGCTTCAGCGATCCGAAAGTTTGATGTATTTGTTTTCCTACTTCATATATTCATCAAATCCATAGCAGCGTTTGCTAAAAGATTTAATCTTCTGCCCATTTCGTATATCCCAAAGGACAAAAAATGATATTATTCACTTGTTTTCATGCATGGCCATCGAAGTAGATTCGATCTCTGTCGAACTCATGTCACCTCTGGAGACATTGGTTGATTCCGAGTTTGAATTTGTATGAGCCCGAGTGTCTGACGAAGCAGGGATGCTGAAGTGACGTAGTAACACTCTATTGATACCGATTTGAATATTGGAAGTTTGACGAGAATTTGTCCTGCTACACCATATAAGCTGTAAATTTGTAATAATTAATGGTTACGGTTAATGTACAATAAATTAGCAAATAGTAGTCATAGTATTCTAATTATGGACTATTTTTGGTTAGTTTTAGAAGTAAAAAATATTACATAAGATCCATATTTCACAATAACTTACACAAATGAAAATTGCATTGTTTTTGTGTATACTTCCGATATTCTTTGTCTTGTTATCTGCGAATATTTTGTTTTAATATGTACATTGCAATTCTATTACAGAGATGAAAGAATGATGGAACACGTTCGTAAGATAACTCAACAATGCTGTGTGATAAACTCAACCCTTCGAGCCAATGTATCCGCTCTTTTGCATAATCTTCATCCCAGACTGACAGCCCTTGAAGCCTATGAAAAGTCGTTGGAAAACCAATGCTCGCACGTCGATGAAAATTTTACCGATATCTCTGAAATTTGCCCAAACCCCGCCATACTAGCTCAACAATTGACCCACGTAGAATTGGAGAGGCTATCGTTTATAGGGCCTGAGGAATTCGTGCAAGCATTTGCCAAGGAAAATCCTAATTTGGAGACTTCTTTCAAAGATATGAAGAAAACGCACAATTTGGAACAGTACGTCCAATGGTTTAATAGACTGAGCTATTTTGTAGCAACACAAGTTTGTAAAGTAAGTATCGTTTTTTTTTTTAATTGTATTAACTATTGTCTCGCGTATTTAAAAGGACAAGAATAATATTGATCTTAGATATATTCGAAATTCTCACAAAAATAGTCATTCAATATTTATCTATTTATTTATATTCTTATGGTTTCACCTGGAGTATACCTAGCCGCTAATTTCAGAGATGTAAATCGACTCTTTTATTGCGAATGGCTTAAACGGTATCAGTACAATAGATGGGCAAATCAAACATCTGCTGATGTCAAGCAGCAGCTCCCTTTTTCATACCTCAATTTAAACTTTATTATTGTAACCTTTAGGGGGGGGGTCAATAATAGTATAAATTAAAAATCGCGACTGAGTTCCGCCGTTGTGTCAGCCTCCATCTTGATTTTCAAAGAAAACCGTTTTTGTTCAATATCTCCGCCATTTTCATCTTTTTGACAAAAATGGTAAAGATTGAAATTGTTTTGAATGGGATTTCCTACAATTTCTTTTTTACAAATGTTTTCTTACGGTCGAAGTTAATGGAAAAAATAGTGGAAGGGGGGAAGCATAATTATCGAATTATCTCGTTAATCATTAGCTTTACGACATGAATGTACCTAAGCAAACAATTTTGATCTGTTTTATTTTTTTGCTAAAATCAATATTTAAAGTCGTAGGTTCGTTCCTGTTTATGGCTTTCTAGTTATGACGGTCACCGTAGCTGCTGATAACGGTCTTCGCGTCGTCTAGGGTTCTTTAAACAAATTTTTCCCTACTGCCCGAGTATTCGTAGGCTGGAACCACCAGACTGAATGCAATGTATGATACTGTAAGACAGCTTAGATGGAAGCAAAATACTTTGCCAGTCTCTATATTTCAAATTTATAAAATATAAGCATATAATGGGCAGAAATATCCGAGACGTAGTGTAGTTTTACAAACGTTACGAATGTGTCAAGTGAACTATAACTAGAATTTGTTTCTTAAACGGCGAAAAACCAAATAGATGTTGGTTGCTAAAAACGCTCAAAATATTCAAAATAGAAAATCCAAATTAACAACTATACCTTTGAGAAAATGAAAGAATACACATTATCTTGGATCGCTGGTAAATACACAAACACGACAAGCAACAAAATAAAAACACATAGCAATAGTAAGAACTCTCCATAGTCTTCAAAAACATCTGAGAAATAAAATCCTGAAACGTGCAGGCAAGGTTAACATTTATTAAAACTGGTTTTGATATGTGGGGCTGAACATGCTCTTTACCCTAAAACGACGAGTTACTACTTGGTATCCCTGGGGAGAAAAAAACATGAAAAATTTTTGAGGCTGGAAATGAAAATGGTGTATGACGTCCAAGTTCACTTTGAATAATTATACCAGCTATACAAATATCCAGATATTGTAAAATTTATTAAGGTACAGAGACTAAGATGGGCTGGACACATTACTAGGATGTCATACAATGAGTAAGCGGAGATATTGACATTCTCAAATCTAGTATCCGAAAGAAGTAGGGGTTGGCCACCTAGAAGATGGAGAAGATGGATTGATGATGTGAAAGAAAACTTTACGATTCTAATGGTCAGAAGATGAAGGGAAGTTGCTGGAAATCGATAAGGCTGGTGATTTCTCTGCGAGCAGGCCAAGATCCACAAAGGATTGTCGAGCCAATTATGATGAAAATATAAGCATGTTATCCAGATTTCAATATATTAGCCTATCATTATACATAAGTATCTCCAAATTCAAACCCAGAGACTGAGCAAAGTATATGTGCCATTTTTCAACCATCATGGTAGCTTAAAAAGGGTCCATGTATTCTGTATTAAATGAAAACAATTTATCAATTATTGTTTTCTGTCCTTTGTCCTAGTCTTACCCACGTGCAAAATTGATCTTCGAAAAGAATTCGTAGTTTAGATTTATGTAAAGCAGTCTATATCTCCAGAGTACAAATTCAAAATCAGGAACCGGCAAAGTGTATGTGCCCATTTCTGCGCATGTTTGATGATAACCAAATACTTTTTGCACATTATTACGGCTAGTGCAAAGACAGAAAGCAATCGTTGATAAATCGTTGTCATTTAAGGTCATCAGAGTAGATGACACATTTGTAAGGTTTAATCAAGGTGGAAAACAGAGCACATAAACTTCGCCAGTCTGTAAGTTTCAATTTATAGATATCTTTGCACGTCTGATGATAAGAATATATATTTTTGTGATACATGTTCGTTCCAATTTTTCCCTATTATTAAAAACAACAATCCTCACGGCTGAGGAAACAAAGAGATATGAAACATTTAAACTAAGGCTACCTTACCGTGTAAGAAAATAGGGTAAGACAACATGACTGCTTTTTATAATAGCTCTATTTTGAGCCTACCATAAGTGTTAATATTTTTAACTGCAAGTATTCCGGAACAATAGGTATTCCAGGTAAGGGTAGATAAGTAAAAAATCTTGAAAACTCGGAAGATCTGAAGAATATACATAGTTCAAAACTTACATTCAAATAAATATATACATATCCTTAGGTGAATCGCACTTATTATCTTGATCAAGTAATTGTTTATTATATTTACTAAATTTAAATTTGTGATGGATTCGGCCGTTACTGGAAATTCATTTTATATAACAATAAAACACTGAAAACTTTGTTTTCAAAACTTCCACAAAATTTATTATAATATCCTTGAGAAAGGCGCTCTGTCGAAAAGCTGTAATGATAAGATAGAATAAATTTTGTGGAAGTTTTGAAAACAAAGTTTTCAGTGTTTTATTGTTATATAAATTTAAATATAGGTATATGACTGAATTGAAATATAGGTATATGAGTATAGGTATATATACCTATATTACTAGTGTTTGTAATTTTGTTCTAAATGTGTTGTAATTGCCATACGATAAATAAATAAATAAATTTAAATTTATTAAAAAATATGTGAATGTTAGGTTAAAGGGTACACAGAACGTATTTGTCAAAACTCAGCTCTTCCAATAAACAGCTGAGGTTATTTACAGCGGTTCAGTCCAAGTAGCCTAAACGCATGGGTATGCTCCGAAATGAATGTATTATATATAACTAATGATAAACTGAGATAATTCCTTGTACTTTAATGTGTCATTATATTTTTTGTATTACATATAAAATAACTATATAACGAATACACCAATTAAAATCAGACTGAAGCTGGTTCTTTTGAAACACACTTCACGTTATATAGTTTACTACTTTTGTATCAATTTTATACTATTGTTAGACTTTTATACCAGTTTTATGTTCATTGATATCTTATATTGCTGACTACCTTTTATATTTTTATATAACTGCCTATTCACTAAGTCCTATATATTCTTAGTAACACTTTAAATGGTTTTTGGTTGTATATACTTTGGCTTACATATACCATCTATTTCAGCCTTTCGTTTCTTGAGGTACTGATGATGCTGTATAACTGGTAAACAGTGAAACCGGTCGCCCAATCTTTGTCTTAATAAATACAATTTAACACGGATTGTAAATAAAAGACCGTTTTCCCTAACATTGATGTGCCAGCAGCCTTTTATCATTTAAAAAATATATGTTTATATTGGAATACTCTGGAATATATTCCATTAATTTAAATGTTTAAAAACATTTTCTAACTGTAATACCAATCTTTTTTCTTCAGTATCAAAAAAAGAAAATGAGAGTTCGAGTTGTGGAGTATTGGATAGAAACTGGAAGAGAGTGCTTTAATATCGGAAACTTTAACAGCCTGATGGCCATAATTGCAGGACTCAATATGTCGCCGATATCAAGGTTAAAAAAGACGGTAAGTTAAAAAGTTTTTCCGAAATATTTAGTAATTATTATTTAAATGGGAATAAGCCACAATTAAAGATAAAAATACGTTTATTTGATGTTCGGGATATGTATTCTTTAGAAGGGCATTTTTTGCTTTTTTTATTGCAGTTGGTCTGTATTCTTGATCTGTTAGTTGTCTATGTCAAATCAAGACTTAGTAAATTTTATAACAATACAAATAACAACAAACCGAACAGTATCAAAACTACTTGTTCAGCAGTCAACAGTGCAAGAGCCGTCCCTGCACGGACAACAGGGCGCATGCATCGAACACTAGCGACAACGACACCACGCGTAGCTGTCAAGCAGAAATAAGACATTCTTTTTTGGTTTTGTTCAGAGATATTTATGAGAGGGGATATGACACAAACGATATTTCTGCATTTACTAATGGGACCACTTATTTTGACAGATTGTCTACACCAATATGGCGACAGGCAGGTGCGGATTCAAATTAATTCAAACTGTATTTACGATTTACTGTTTAGTTTGGGAATAAGCATTGGGTTAGATTAATAATAGTTATTTGGAATAAAATTACTTTCATTTTTAGTACTTTTCAAGTACACTTTAATAATAATAATAAAATTTATTACATACATAAAGTTTTAAAAAATGTACAAAACCAGTCAACGGTTTTAACGGTTTTAAAATTATAACATTTACAATTAGCAAGTAAAAAACAACAATTAGCAAGTGCACTTACACAAGTTTATGTACATTTAGAAATGTTAGTTCCATGTACTATTAATAAAA